CGCCATCTAAATTCTGTTTTAAACCTTGAAAATCTGGGTACAAACTATTTCACTCTCCCCCTTACTTATAAGGATGATACATAATCCAGAACTATGTGTACATTATGTAATCAAAGAGAACATCCCTAATTCTACCTGGCTAGTCACGTGCGCACAGATATCGGCTCTCAGGACGATGGCACCAGTCTAGGGTGTAGATTCTCATTTTTGAAAACTGCCGATGCTCCTCTCTGAATAACGCATATATTGTGATGTTAACGGACGCAATAAATATGTATAACAAAGGGGCCTCTAGATTATAAATCATAAAAAATCTGAAAACAAGTTCCAGGGTATATGGAGTTTTCAGTCATACTCAAAGGTCTTTAAATCTTCCCAATGAAGAAAGAAGTTCATCACCCTGGGGATTTGTGATAGATAATAAATGAATTTTTACTACCTACCGTAATGATGGCTCCTTTCTTTATCTAAAATGTTTAAAATGACAGCCATCGGGGACACGCAACCCAGTAACACAGCCTCACCTGACAGAACATCAGTGAAACTCGATTTCGCGTGTGTGTTTCTTTCCATTGGCACAGCCACACCCCAGCGGTCAAGTGGTTTTCCTGAAGCGTCTGCCTGTTCTTGCTAGTGGGTGGATCAGTCACAAAACTTGAGATGGGGAAATACTTCCCCAGGTTTTCCATGACTTCAATAGCTTGGATGTGTGGGCACATAAATGCGCAGAAAGCCTCAGCATCGGCTGTACCTAGGGCCCCACCCGCAGCAAGCCTGCTGTGTCTCTGGGAGCCCCACAGATGAACACAGGTCCTGCTCAGACGCCCGGTCTTATCCCTGGAGGGTTGGCTGGGCTGCAGAGTTTTCTATTTTTATGCAGAAAGTTGCACTGCTGAAAGAGGAAAAGGTGTGCAAATGTGGACGCTCTCTCACTCGGCAGATCTGGACGAAAGTCAGTGGCGGAAACTGTGGTCCCATGCAGGTTCACAAAGGCTAATTTTAAACCCTAAGAGGAAGTGTAAACTGTCACTAGTATCCTGCAGATTCATCTGCCAGGGCTGATGTCCTTTTACCTACTTTCCAACAGGCCCCGCACTACAGGCACCCAGCAGCTCTACAACTCAAATCCCATCTACGAAGGCACTGATGCGCACGAAGTGCCTCGCTACCCAGAGAGACTGCAAGGGGGCGCTGGCTTCTGATAAACTTACACCTACACTTACCATATGACCCAGCAATCCTGCTCCTAGACATCGACCCAAGAGAAACAAAAACCTACGTGCACACAACAAACCTGTACGCAAATGTTTCTAGTGGCTTCAGTCCTAGTCGTCAAAGCCTGGAAACAACTCAAATGTCCTCCAACAGGAGACTGGGACAAACCAACTGCCACGCATCCTTAAAAAGGAACACGTACTACTTAGCAATAAAGAACAAACTACTGATGTGTGCAACAGCACAAATGAACCGCAGATGCATTATGCGGGGTGAAAGATGCCAGACTAAAGGCTGCATGCTGTAACTTCCCCTTATATGACATTCTTGTAAAGGCAAAACCATAGGGACAGAAAATAGAGCGGTGGCTGTCAGGGGCTGTGGTGGGGGGAGGGGTTGATTACGAGGGGCACGGTGGGGCTTTTGCGGGGTGCTGGAACTGTTCCATATCCTGATTGTGCTGGTGGTTATGAGACTGTAAACACTTGGCAAACGTTGCAAACCTGTACTCTAAAAAGGGTGAATTTTAGGGCATGAAAATTATACCTTAATTTTTTTAAAAAAAAGATGTAAGAGATGAAGGTGGGGCGAGATGGAGAAGCAGCCATGTTTGACAAGGAAAGGTCAGATGTGTCTTCTTCAAGGTTGCTAGTTGAGACCAATAAGAGACTCGCCATCATTTAACGGCTGTGGAAAATCTGGCCTCAAAGCCCCAGACCTTCTCTCCTTTCCACAATAGATTGTGACATTGACCCAGCTACACAAGAGACCTTCTCTCCATCCATCAGTCATGGAGTCGGCCCTGTGTACATGACATAACACAGACACTCACTTTTTTATGACAAATCACCAAACCCATTCATTCAGCTCTCTCCCCAGAGTCTGGGCACCTGCCGGTGGGTAACCTCCCTGGTTGCGTAAAGGGCCCTCCTCCACCAAAGCTAGTGTCCATTGGGTCCCTGCCCAATTGAATCTGGGAGAAAAGGTTTATAATTTGGATTTGGGGATGAAACCCCAGAGGAAATATTTAATATGCTCACAGGGCCTCACTTATTAAATTTTCCCACTTTTCATACGGAGTTGAAATGGAGGTTGGTCTCCCATGCCATACTCAGAAAGAAGCAGGGACAACAACTCATGCCTCATCCAATATTTGGAGGAGCTGCTGGCAGAAGCCTGTGCAGGCTGAAACACATGCCCAGGGCTCGCTCCCTTGCTTCTTGCCATCTCAGATCCCGAGGCGAGCTTAGGGCTCAGTGGGAAGAGCGTCCTGCCACAATCTGCCTCTTCAAAATCGCCCAGACAACACAATTCACCCCCATAAGACAGAGGCCAATGGACTCTTACCCATCAAAGGCAGATGGCCGTAACTCATGCAAAAATCAACCAGGCCATTTTGGTGCTGGGGCTGGCAATTCAAGTTTCTTACCACTTAATTAAAAGCCTTGACTACTAACCAGTTTCATCTTTCAGACTGCCACGAACCTGCTACTGTGAGATATCACAAATCAGCACTATTGAGTCCTTTTCCAGGCAAGGCCCTTGCTTCAGACAACTAACAATGACAGCAATGAAATCCCCTCTTCCTTAAAGGTTGCAGAATATACAGTTGGGTGAAAGCCAGAGAAGGATCTAAGATGGTCTGAATTCTGCCTCTGGGGGCAGAGGAAGGAAAGAAGTTCACTTTTGGGATTCTTCCCTGAGTTTGAAGAGATGTGACCTGGATTCTCATAACACTTACAGGAAAGTGTCATCTTCAACACCTTGCCTTCCCACTATCCAAGATGTAAACGTCCCATTGGGGATTCTCTTACTTGCAGCTCAAAGCATCCTAACCAATACAACTGATACATGGGGGACAAGACGAAGGGAGAAGCTGGTGGAGACAGAAGGATTGAGAGGAACTGGGTCTGCTGGCTCCAGAGCAGAGGGGCAGGACTCTTGCCACGAGCTCAGGTGGCTAGCACCAGGAACACCATGGTGCCAGGGCACTTGTCCCTCACTGCACCCGAAGGTAGGGTGGGATGTTCTGGGTCTAACCCCTGGTCGGCGAGGCAAAGAGCAGATCTACTGGAGAACCAGCTGGCCCCCAACCCGCAAGGTCATCACCCCTCTCCCTTGCATACCCACTTTCTCGTACACACAACATAAGGATCACAACAACTGAAGTAAGACTTGGCAACAGAGAACTTCCTGTCAACTTCTAGCGGAGAAAGCCAGATTGGGAGGAGTTGAGGAGTGAATCACCTATCGGAACACAGGACTTATTTGTAAGGAGTTTGATGGTTCTAAGAGGCAGAGAGAGCAGATGCTTGAAGGGGAAGCAGGAGCAAAGGACGTGTTTTCTTTTTTTCTTTTTTCCTTTTTCAACTAGAAAAGAGACATTAATAGGCTGAGGAGAACGTGCTCTTTGTACCTGGTGGGAGCTCAAGGAATATCTGCTTAACCCAAACTTTAGGATTTGAGATAAACATATAAAACAATCCCAAAATGAACACTTAAACATTGGGCATTTCTTCTCTCCCTTCTTGTTTTGAAAATGTCCTCGTGGGTGACTCCAATCAACTCCAGGATATGCACGATCATGAGAAGAAAGGGCAATAATCTCTTTCTTAAATACCAACTCAAAGTATGGCGCTTCACTGTAAGGACTGACAAATTAGGACAGGAATTGAGGAGATGTTACATAAAATCGACACTGATGAAATTCTATGCATTGCTGTCTCCCAGCTCTCCTTCTCAGTTGCCTGGTGACGGAAACTTTACCAACAAATGTGAGAGACGTGTAAACAAACTCTAAATAAGGAAGGCTGGCCTTTCTAGGGGAGGGATGGAGATCTCTGTGTTTATTCAAAGAGGCCAGCAAGGCTGGTGCCCCGGGGCCCCAGGGATGGGGTTTGGCGGGGTTTGGCGGGGTTCGGCGCAGAAGCTCTTTTCTTCTTTCACACCCTTTATCTATCCTGACACATACACACAAGCACAGGGACAACAGTTGCAGCTTGGGCTTTGCTCACACATTTTCACTGCATTTTTGCCTTCATCCTATCTTTGTGCAGAGGTGTTTCTAAAAGGAAAGAATCTCGAATTGAATGCTGAAAGTTTACAGGGAAGCAGGGTTTGGTACATGGAATTTTCACTTGCAGACACCTCTGAGAATCTGTCAGTTCTGTGACGCAAGAACATCTCCAGATGAGCGATTCCCCTAAGTTCCGAGGCTAAGGTATCAGAGCGGTGGTAGTGATTTCCCTGATTGACAGGTGTCAAGTAGTACATATTTTGTTTTGTATATCAATTTTTTATATCAGCTTCTATTTTAATCAGCTTTAGTTGATCCAAATGACCTAATACATAAATAGAAAGAAGGTACACCTTCCATGAATAATGCGACGTGAAATCCCCATGTATATTCATTCATGTATATTCACTACATATACACATACACCATATGTATGTATACACACCAGCCCATAAATGCCCTCACTATGGCAGAGGCCAGGAGCACCAAATTGCTCCCCACTTTCCATGTCTATCACAACTGCTCTTGATGTTAATTCCAATCTGATTTCATCTGAACAGAAATGTCAAGGGAAGAAAGGACATACTCCCTCATCCTACCCCGGGGATGGGTCAGCCCCAGAATCTTCTCTTCTCCCTTTGAACACTCTTAATAAGAATGCTCTTAGCTCTTCTTTTGGTATAGCCCGGTTTTTTGATCAATGATTGATGGCTCCGCATGTAGCATGTGGAAGATGAGATTCCTACCGACAGAAAACCAACCCTCTTACCTGACTCTTGGAGATAGCGATACACCAGAAAGTTCACCTCGTCACTGGTTATGCTCATCTTAGCCTCACCTCGCGGCGATGAGGTCTTTATGAAGTGGGAGCCACCTTCTGTTAGAAAGGCAAGAGAGAAAGAGGAAAGAGAGTTTTGAATCACTGCCTATGTTTTTTTAAAATACATTCTTCTTGAGACAATTGAAACAAATAATACCCATGATGGTAATTAACGCCTGATTCATATTTTAGTTTGTGATTATGTGATTACACAAAATTTGTAAAAAGAAGTATTGGTGTATTTTATAAGGCAGAGACACAGTCAGGTATAAACCACACTAATGAAGATAAATACACGGGCAACAAAATGAAAACAAATAATCGACTTTTTATTCAATAAAAATCATGTATGCACTTGGGCCAGTCCCTTGGCCGAGTGGTTCAAGTTCCACATGCTCCACTTCAGCTGCCTGGGTTTGTGGTTCAGATACCGGGTGCAGACCTATTCCACTCATCAGCCACGCTGTGGAGGCATCCCATACACAAAGTAGAGGAAGCCTGGCACAGATGTTACCTCAGGCAAATCTTCCTCACCAAAAAGAAAAAAAAAAATCTCGTGTGCATTATGATCACAAAGCATGTGATAAGGAGCATGACTGGAATCTGGAGGTGCTCTTTGACAGAGGCAGCTGTCCTAGACCCTGAGTGCTTTTCCAGACAGATGGAGAACATTACTGAGTAGACAAGTGGTCATGTCAGCACCCCTAGGAAGGGTGACCACATGGTCCAGCTGCACCTGTTGTTCTGGTACCTTCCATTCATAAAAGTTTACATGACAAACTCCATGGTCACTCTACCTCCAGAGTGTATGCAGCACTGAGAAAGAGGACAAAGATCAGGGAGGAGCTAAGGAAATGTGTATGTCACCTTGACATCATTTCCATAAAGAGGCCAGGTCTCAGGAAGTCAGGAAGCCTATATCATTTGTATTTTGCCACCAAACTCACTGCAGGAGGAAACTTGGGAGGTTAGGGGATATAGTGAGAATTTTGGGAGCCTCTATGTCTGAGGTAGCCAAGAAGATAGAGTCTGAGTTTTTCCATAATGATCCTCTGGTTAGACCTATGAACAAGCCAGCCCACAGAGAACAAAAGTCAATCAAGTAGTAGAACTCTTGTACATGGACGAAGCAGGATTCAGAGAGCAATAAGAGTGGTCACTCCAAATGGCAGTAGCCAAGAAAGGCCACAACTTTGTTCAATGATGTCGCCAATACCAACATTTTAGGCTGTTTGGGAACTGTCTTCAGAGTCCATGTTACACATTTTCAGGCGTCTTTATTGGCGGCAAAACTTTATCATCAAATGAGAATTAGGTTTTTGCTTGCTTTAGGAAAAAGATAAAAGGACAAAGTATGCATTCAAGCTGGGAGGATTTGAACCAAAGGTTGTTGTAAAGGTCATACTCAAGATGGCCCCCAGTGAGTCCCACCTTGATATAATCCCCTCCCCTTGAATGTGCACAGGACCCGTGACTTGCTTCTACCCCACAGAATATGTCAAAGGAGAAGGGTGCCACTCCCTTGGTAAGGTTCCATTACACGGCAAGGGTGACCAGTTGTGACTCCCATAATTATGTTACATTACATAAGACTCTGACTGAGCAGACTGGAGGGAAAGCTCTCCTGCTGGCCTTGAAGATGAAAGCTGCCATCGCATGAACTGCCCAGGGGACTAGGGGGTAGCCTTCAGGAAGCTGTGGGCCTCAGTCCGACAACCACAAGGAACTGAAATTCTGCCAACAACGTGAACTTGGGAGTAGATCTCCCCTCAAGCTCCAAATGAGGATGCAGCCCAGCCACCATCTGCCTGCAGCCTCGTGACCCTAAGAAGAGGACCCAGCAAAGCCGTACCCAGACCCCAGACTCAAGAAAACTGGGAGAAAATAAGCATGTTGTTTCCAGCTGCTGAGTTTGTGGTGGTTTGTTCGACGGCAGTGAATAACTAACACAGCTGCTCCTGGGTCCTTCCAGGTCTCACTTTATAGTCTCCACAAAATTTTATTTTGTAGTCACCAGAACTTTGCCATGCAAAAATACTCAACGACTTTACTTGATTTGGTGATATTTCTGTATCAGTCAAAATATAAATTTGTCCTGGAATTTCTGCTTGAACTCTAGGGAGTTCACTCATAAACAGCATTAGGAAAATATTAGAGACTAAATAAAAAGCTATGAAACCAGAGCTTAACCAAATGAAAAAATAAAGTATTATTTGAGGAGAAAGTAAACAAGAACAAAAATATAAATTACAGAATCCTGTCGCTCTGAACAGACTCTTGGTGATGCTGAGTGTTGCCGTTATGATGACGACTCAGTTCCAATGACGAATTCAGACTTTTAGGTTCTCCCCATGGTGAATAGTTGGACCACTGGGGGTGATCAGGTCTTGAGGGTGGAGCCCTCATGATGGGATTAATGCCCTTATAGAAGACACCCCAGAGAGCTTTCTCTCTGTGTGTGAGGATACAGTGAGAAGAAGGCAGTCTATGAACCAGGAAGCCAGCTCTCGCCAGACACCAAGGCTGCTGGGGCCTTGATCTTGGACTCCCAGCCTCCAGAACTGTGAGAAATAAACGTCTGTTGGTTAAGCAGCCCAGTCTGCAGTGTTTGTTATAGCAACCTGAACAGACTCAGACACCACCTCTAACCCCTTTCTCTCTTATTCTGTCATGTCGCGTGTTCAGAAACAGTATAATGTAACTACCAGCTTCTCTCTGCTTCAGCACTTTTGACACTTGGGGCCAGACGGCTGTCTGCAGTGGGGCTGTCCTGTGCACTCAAGATGCTCAACAGCATCCCTGGCCTCCACCCACTAGACGCCAGTACAACCTCCCCCACCCCCGTAGCTGTGATGATCAAGACCTCTCCAGACACTGCCAGATGTGGCAAATTGCACTGCTGCTCGTTGAGAACCACTGCTACAGAGGAAAAATAAGCATTTTGTATTTGAAAGGAACTCCATTTATAAAGCTGTCCAGCAATGTGGAGCTAGCTCACAGACATGGCTTGAAGGAAACCGCCAAGCTATTAAAAGTGATCATTTAAAATGCACCATAAGAGCTTTGCTTTTTCAAATCGCCTATGTAAAATCTTTCTACAAACTTATCAGTGTTTTCATAAGAATATCAAATACTGATTTTGTCTTTCAGCATCCAGATCTTTCTTGTTCTCTAAGGAGAAGGCATCCAGATGCATACAGACAACACGACACACCTGCACCCAGAGCCTTGCGGACCCTCCCCGCCCCCAGGTGTTTGTAATCAATATAGGTGTCTGCACACCTGTTCTCAGAGGACGACAGAGAGTGAGAAGAGCCTCAAGATCCAGGGAATTACAAACAATTCTTGGTAGCCCAATCCTCTATTTTTCTTTATGCATCATTTTTTTTCCAACAGGGAAACTTTGATTAAGCTCTGGCTCTCTGTTTTCTGATCACAGATTCACTTTCTCTCTAAATTTCTAACAATTTACAATCCAGGGATCGGAATGCTTCCTCCAATACAGAGTTAACTTCTGAAAGGGCTTTTGATTTGTAAGCAGCAGGGAAAACAAAACAAAAACCATCTGGCGAGGAGCCAGACAGCCTGATTTCTCATCGTGTCTCCTTCCCTTTCTAGCTGTGGCTCGCACGGCAGGTGCTGTGGCTGTTTCTCCAGCTCTAAATTGAGGACAGCAACAGCCCCTATACCTGGGAGAGGCTGTGAGGGTTAAGTGCTTTTACATCACTTCTCAGAGCAGGGCCCCATGCTCAGAAGAGATCCAAGATGTGCTAGCTATTCCTCTTATTCAGTCAACGGCAAGCAGCCCCGAGGAGCGCCCTGAAAAGGCCTTCTGGAGGGACAAGGAGAACACACCACCCGCGCCAGAGAGCGACTCAGAGCTGGTCTCCTCGGAATGGTTAATGGGTGACTTCCCAACAGGCAAGGTGGTGCTTATTAAAAAAGCCCGTCAAAAAAAGGCACTAGCCCCAGAAACCGTGATGGGGTATTTCTTTTCTAATATGTAGAGCTGGAGACACAACTCATGTTTTAACACCTAGCTGGCTTCTGGAAAGGCATCCATTTCCAGCCTCGAGTTCTGAGAACTCCAGTGGATGCTTTCCGGCCTCTCCAGTTCTAGGATAAAAGAAAGCTTCTGCGGCATTGGTAGATCCTCCTTAGCCTTGAACAAAAGCGGGGGGAGGGCAGGGAACGAGTTCTTAATTAGTGCAATTGTGTTTATTTTCTTGCCTGACCCAGTTTTAATTTGAGACACCTTCAATTAGGCTGATTTGAGGTCTTTGGAGCTGTGATTGCGCAAAAAGCAGATAACCGCCTTCCACCTCGGTTTAAAGCCACAACATTCCCTCAGTGCTGCTTAAAGAAGAAATTGGTGCAGGCTGGTGACATTTCTGGAGTTTCCCCACTAGAGCTAAGTATTCCAACATAAATAATAGTTTGGGGTTAAAGCCGCCAAGAAACTGAAGGGAAAATTATTTACAGTATTTCTTCTTTTTACGATTTAATTTCAAGGTGGCAAAAGCTCCTATGAATCACGGTTCCCTTCACAAAATAGTTCAAAATTCAGTCGCCAAGAGAAGTGCCATTTAAGAGTTTCATTTTATTTTATATTTATAGTATTTAATATGCTTTCGTTCTCTGGGAAGGGAGAGGACTACACCAAAACAACAAAATCTTAATTGCTATTTAATTATCTTAAAAGATATAATCACAAGAGACCGACTTGAGAGTTGGCGCTGGTGGTTAAAAACCAAAGGGCGAGTGCGCGCCTGGCCCCTAGGGGGAGAGCGTTGTTCGGAACAGCGAACTCCACACACGCTGATTCGGAGGGGCGGAATGTGGTGCGCATCGCATCCCACTTCAGCAGAAAGCTGCTCTTTTCACAATCTGCCCCATTATGAAATGAGCTCTTAAAATCTGTTAAAGCAGCCCTTTGTTTCTCCAGGGACGGAAGAAAGTTTGTCTCATTTCTCGTTTCTGTTATTAGCCTGTTGGCGAGCATGCTGGAAGAATCCATCGCTTAAAGTAATCTTCTGGATAAGGCTCAGGTCTCCGGG